ATTATAGGCATACAGTAGTAATAAATTGTGGAGATTTAAGCTATACTTTTTGTATATTATGATGAGTATATTATTCAATATATTGATATATGTCCACTAAAAATGAACAGTGTTTTTACACTTAGAGTATATGGTTAGATTAGATTTTGCCACCGAAGCGGCTAGTTTATTGTGCCGCCCATATCCATCCTGTGGACGGTAGCGCGAGAGCATATGGATACACAAAAGGCCTAGGAACTAGGCCCCAAAGGGTTAACAGGAATACATATGGATTTATATCTACATATCTATAGTTTACTTATCTGTTACAAGCAAATTTAGGAAATTTGCTTAGTATATCTGGTATCTTATTTTCATTAATAAGATATCTTGACATGTCACATAGGTTATTATACTGTCCTGTCTCTGTATTCCTCAATAAGTGGACAATTAAGACATAGTGTTCAAGAGAGTGATTTCCAATGTAACCTGTCACAATTTACATTTAGTTTGATCATCATCGTGTGTCTCCCAAACTGCAGAAGTACTTGTAACCAAGCCTAAAGCCTGGCCACTACAACATCAGTCAGTACTTGTAACCAAGCCTAAGCCTGGCCACTACAACATCAGTCAGTCTGTTCACATTGCAAGTTGCTCCATAAACATACTTATCTACGTTCATGTTATCATAGTGGGTTATAGATCTACTCAGGCTTCTAAATGCATTCCTATAACAATCATTTTCATTATTTACTTCTCTCCTAATATTATTCCTAATGTTAGACACAGTTATACCAAAGTTATATTCTACATTCTCCTTCTGGGTACTCTTCTTGGCTAACATCAACTTTATCATGAAGGAGTAATCCAATGTGTGATGGGATCCATAGCAATTGTACATTAATTCCTTTAATATAGAGAGAACTTGGAAATGCACACCCAGGCTATCTGTTAAGAAATAATATCTACTTATATCTAGATTAAGCTCTATCGTGTATTATCTAGGTATATGAGTAAAGGATAGAATAGCAAGAGGGAGAGATGTCCTGTATATCTCAGTGAATTTAATCCCTGCATGGGGAACTAAAGTATTTATGACTGGTGGTGAATAGGTTTTGTGTATCCATAATGACCCTCGTGGAGTTGTTAGGCTTTAAACTCAATTAACTTAGGATAAGCTAATAAGACCGAATAATATGTTGAGCTGTGAATAAGGTGCAAGTTAATGTTGTATAATTTGCTCTATCGAGGTGATATTGATGGATTAACTTGATGGGCTGATGTGAGTTTCCCCCCACAGGCAGTGATGGCCAGTGAACACAACAATGGAGGGTGGAAGGCAGTTAACAACTTCCTCTCCAGAGCAATGGGTAAGTTGGCAACCACCAGGGTGCTGTCATTCACGGTGGGTGGCAGGGAGAGATGAAGGGTTGGAATAGGGATAGATGGATGAGGAATGGAGGGAGTAGGAGATTAAATTTAAGGAGAACTAAGGGATAGTGGGTGACGGAATAGCAGGAAGGTGAGGGAAGGGATGGAGAAGCAAGTATGCTAGGGGAAGAGGGAGAAAGTGAGATGGAGGACGAATGTTAGAGAAAGCAGGGAAAGTAAACTAGTGTGGGAGAAAGGAGAGGTGAATAGGAGAAAGGGAGGGAAGACCGTGTAGGAGAGGAAGAGGAGAGATGAGCAGGAGAGGGAGGGAGGGAAGTAGGAAGAGTATGGTAGTTTCAAAATGTTATCAGACCCATACAAGTCACAAATAACGTACCATGTTTGTCTCTCCTCCTCCAGCAGGAATCGTCACTTGACTATTGACTGAGGATCAGACACACGTCACCCACTGCCACCTGCTGCAGGTGTTCCTCTCTCTGTGTAGCGTGTGTCGTGCAGTTGACTGTGTAATGCATTTTAACTGTTTGCCCATGACTAAGGCCTTCTCATTTTCATCGTGGTTTTTATAATTACCGAAGTGCATGTAGAGACCTCAGGGAACTTTAAGGAGAGCCTGTTGACATTAAAAGATTAATGGCATCATCTTATGCTGATGATTTTTAGCTTAGTGATAGGTATGTCTGTTGTGTGTTTTATTCATGCAGATTTTTTATTGTTTTCTGTTGTTTGCCAATAGCGTTGAATTATCACCCAGGTTAGTGCTTTTCAAATCTCCAGTCTACCTAAAAAAATGTACAATACAAACCACAGGATGACTATTGCTTCCCTTAACAGAACAGTCAGACGAAAGACATACACATTAGACTGTGAGGCTGTGTCAGCTATTTAACAAAGCCTTCTAAAACCCCATCACTCACCTTTATCCACTACGTGATAAATGAGATATAGAGAGTTATGATTCAGGGGGGATAGAGCTAAACCCGTAGGGATCATACAGCCTCTAGGGGTTTGATTGTTTGGACCAAGAGCATCTCACCAGCATGAAGACACCTCGCTGGAGGGATCACACAAACAACCTGCCAGGTACAAGTTGCCTGCTGGTGATCTGTTGTTACATGCTTATTTTGTTGGATTCACCAGACATGTGGCTGCTCCTGCATGATAGAATGATGATAGATGGACTGACTTCTTACAAACCATTCTGGAAAAATACTCTGACTTTGTTCACTGTAAATAAAGCATTACCACGTGTGCGTGTGTGTGCGTGCAAGTGTGTGTGTGTGTGTGTGTGTGTGTGTGTGTACTCACCTATTTCTACTCACCTATTTGTGGTTGCAGGGGTCGATTCATAGCTCCTGGCCCCGCCTCTTCACTGATTGCTACTAGGTCCTCTCTCTCCCTGCTCCATGAGCTTTATCATACCTCGCCTTAAAACTATGTATGGTTCCCGCCTCCACTACTTTACTTGTGTGTGTGTGTGTGTGTGTGTGTGTGTGTGTGTGTGTGTGTGTGTGTGTGTGTGTGTGTGTGTGTGTGTGTGTGTGTGTGTGTGTGTGACCCAATTAATATTTGCACTAATAACTCATTACAGTTGTGACCGGGTGTGGACGTGTGAATTATTCATTACTTTGTAATTTGTTCAAGACTATAACCATGTATAGACTTGAAGATGATTCATTACCTTTGTAACTTGTTCATGATTGTGACCAGATCTACCTGGAGTTCATTACCTTTGTAACTTGCTCAGCTATCAAAACTTTGGGGTCCAGTCCCTGGTCCCATTATGTACCTTTGTAATCTTTTGACTACCGCCCACAGGATGGGTATGGTAGGTAAGACACAAAGGCAACAGTTAGGCAACTTTATTCCGAAACGTTTCGCCTACACAGTAGGCTTCTTCAGTCGAATACAGAAAGTAGGCAGGAACAGTAGAGATGTGAAGACGATGTAATCAGTCCATCACCCTTGAAGTCGTAGAATTTGAGGTTGTCAGTCCCTCAGCCTGGAGAGTTCAGTTCCATAGTCAGGAACTATTCTACGACTTCAAGGGTGATGGACTGATTACATCGTCTTCACATCTCTACTGTTCCTGCCTACTTTCTGTATTCGACTGAAGAAGCCTACTGTGTAGGCGAAACGTTTCGGAAAAAAGTTGCCTAACTGTTGCCTTTGTGTCTTACCTACCAACCTGTCGGTATTTTATACCATTTTGATGTTCAGGATGGGTATGGGGTGACTACTGCCCACAGGACGGGTATGGGGTGACTACTGCCCACAGGACGGGTATGGGGTGACTACCGCCCACAGGATGGGTATGGGGTGACTACCGCCCGCAGGATGGGTATGGGTGACTACCGCCCACAGGATGGGTATGGGGTGACTACCGCCCACAGGATGGGTATGGGGTGACTACCGCCCACAGGATGGGTATGGGGTGACTACCGCCCACAGGATGGGTATGGGGTGACTACCGCCCACAGGATGGGTATGGGGTGACTACCGCCCACAGGATGGGTATGGGGTGCATAATAAACATATTAAACTAACTAGTTACACGCTTAGATTCCATCTTTGGAATACAAGAGTAATACTAATAATAAAAAAACTTATTATACTCCTACCACTACAACTAATATTACTACTACAACAACTACTACGACTACTCGTACTGCACTACAACAACAATGACACATGAAGGGTGGCTACCGGCGCGGGTAGCCCTGGCTACACTAGCATGGCTAGGCTTCATCAACCTACACATGGCTCGTGTCAACCTCTCTGTTATTATCGTGGCTATGGTCAAGAGGAACACCTCCCACACCGTCCATGCTCAGTGCCACGCTGCTGACAATGGCACTCTCGGTAAGGTGCCATTCTTCTCTGAACATTATTGGCTTATCCTAGGTTAAGTCTACATTATTTATTTTTGTGTGTGTCCTAGAGTCCACTGTAATATAATTTAAGTGTGGAAACCTAATTAAAAACCTGCTTGCTTGCTTGCTTGTTTGCTTGCTTGCTTGTTTGCTTGTTTGTTTGCTTGTTTGCTTGCTTGCTTGCTTGTTTGCTTGCTTGCTTGCTTGCTTGCTTGTTTGCTTGCTTGCTTGCTTGCTTGCTTGCTTGTTTGCTTGCTTGCTTGCTTGTTTGTTTGCTTGTTTACACGCTTACCTTATTTAAGTGCTCTTCTGGTTGAGTTTTGTGAGAACCTGAGGTTGTTAACCTCAGGGCTCTTGATTCAAGGAATTGGAGCTACCTTCTTCCTTGGATCGAGCGTGATTACCTCCCATAGGTGGATCGTGGCTCAAGTGGTAGCACCTGCGGCTCACATCTGGCGTACCTAAGTTCCATTTGCACCATTACAGTTGTGACCGGGTGTGGAAGTGTGAATTGCTCATTACTCTATAATTTGTTCATGATTGTAGCCATGTATAAACGTAAGTAACCATTCTTACAGGATTCATTACCTTTGTAAATTGTGAGTTCATTACCTTTGTAAATTGTGAGTTCATTACCTTTGTAAATTGTGAATTCATTACCTCTGTAACTTGCTCAGCTATCAAAACTTTGGAGTCCAGTCCCTGGACCAATTATGTACCTCTGTAATCTTTTGACTACCGCCCACAAGATGTGTATGGGGTGCATAATAAACATATTAAATTAAACTAAGTTCCAACCCTGTACAAGGGAAAACGTTGGGCATGTCTCCTTCCACTTTCTGTCTCTATTTACCTAGCAGTAGCAATTAGGTACCAGAATGTTAATCTCCTTACGCCTGCTGCTCCTGTTCGCCTAGCAGTAAGTAGGTACCTGAATGTTCGCCTAGCAGTAAGTAGGTACCTGAATGTTACTCACTTTACACCTGCCCCTGTTCACCTAGCAATAAGTAGGTACCTGGATGTTAATCAACTGTTTTAGGTAGCATCCTGAGGAGAGAGGATGTTGATAGAACTGGATTTTGAAATTAGCTGAGAAGAATAACAGTTCTTAGCCTGCAATTTCAACTATGCCTACCTCCCTCCCCCATAAAAATGAGCATATGAACGCCTATTTACATAGATACTTTATGTAAATTTCCGTCAACAGATGGCGCTGAGGACGATATTAGGCGCCATCTGAGTGACGACATCACCTATGGAGACGAAGAGGTAAAAACAATGTGACGTAATCCTGGATAGAGGCATGGTTGACAAATAGGCAGCAGAGAGTTTGCATAAATGGGGAGAAATCAGAGTGGGGAAGCGTCACGAGCGGTGTTCCACAGGGGTCAGTGTTGGGCCCCCTGCTGTTCACAATCTACATAAACGACATAGATGAGGGCATAAAGAGCGACATCGGCAAGTTTGCCGATGACACCAAAATAGGCCGTCGAATTCATTCTGACGAGGACATTCGAGCACTCCAGGAAGATTTGAATAGACTGATGCAGTGGTCGGAGAAGTGGCAGATGCAGTTTAATATAGACAAATGCAAAGTTCTAAATGTTGGACAGGACAATAACCATGCCACATATAAACTAAATAATGTAGATCTTAATATTACGGATTGCGAAAAAGATTTAGGAGTTCTGGTTAGCAGTAATCTGAAACCAAGACAACAGTGCATAAGTGTTCGCAATAAAGCTAATAGAATCCTTGGCTTCATATCAAGAAGCATAAATAATAGGAGTCCTCAGGTTGTTCTTCAACTCTATACATCCTTGGTTAGGCCTCATTTAGATTATGCTGCACAGTTTTGGTCACCGTATTACAGAATGGATATAAATTCTCTGGAAAATGTACAAAGGAGGATGACAAAGATGATCCCATGTATCAGAAACCTTCCCTATGAGGATAGACTAAGGGCCCTGAAACTGCACTCTCTAGAAAGACGTAGAATTAGGGGGGATATGATTGAGGTGTATAAATGGAAGACAGGAATAAATAAAGGGGATGTAAATAGTGTGCTGAAAATATCTAGCCTAGACAGGACTCGCAGCAATGGTTTTAAGTTGGAAAAATTCAGATTCAGGAGGGATATAGGAAAGTACTGGTTTGGTAATAGAGTTGTGGATGAGTGGAACAAACTCCCAAGTACCGTTATAGAGGCCAGAACGTTGTGTAGCTTTAAAAATAGGTTGGATAAATACATGAGTAGATGTGGGTGGGTGTGAGTTAGACCTGATAGCTTGTGCTACCAGGTCGGTTGCCGTGTTCCTCCCTTAAGTCAATGTGACCTGACCTGACTAGGTTGGGTGCATTGGCTTAAGCCGGTAGGAGACTTGGACCTGCCTCGCATGGGCCAGTAGGCCTTCTGCAGTGTTCCTTCGTTCTTATGTTCTTATGTTCTTATGTGCTCAGCCCACGAGAATAGAGAAAAGACACAGTTGACAGAACTACTTTTATTGGGACAATTCACCAGAAACCCAGTTATGACTTGACAATAATTATCCCAACTGGACTATTGTCAAGTTACTACTGGAGCGAGGAAGGGACATAAAACCGTACGTACTACTATTACTACTACTACTGCTGCTGCTATTGATGATGCTACTACTACTACTACTGTTGCTCCTACTCCTTTCCCCGTCATCTACCGTACAGTCTTTTGGACTTCTCTATTTTCCTCGCCCCAGTTGTGACTTGACAATTTTCCAGGAGGGACTAAAACGTCATCTGGTGAACTGTTCCAGCTACGATTGTGACTTTATTTTTAATTTAAACAATGATAAATCTTCATTAACTATAACACTGTGTTAGATAATAAAAACCTTGTTGTTTGCACGGTAATGATGATATACTGATTCATTAACTATTCAATGTTGTTTTAACACCATAACGCAATAATATAATTTAGTAATAATAGTTCGGAGGCAATTTAGATTTGGAAATTAAATCTTACGACCATAGTAATCACATTATATGATTTTTTTTTACTATGTGGACTGATCAGCCACTAAAACCTCTGTCTAGTGACCAAAAACTCTACTGACTGGGGTCATATGACTGATGAAACCCGTGTCAGGAGAAAATATCCTATTTCTGCTGATAAAGAAAACCCGTTCCTACGAAATTTAGCTATTTTTGTATGATACTCTATACATTTTGGCTTCTAGGACACAGTAAGTTAATCTATTTAGTTCTCCATTTTTGTTAACTGGGTCACTAAGCGGCCACACTCCTTGCAACTCCGGGTACTGGGGGTGAGCTACAATAATTCCTTGGACCTGATAAGTAAAACCATGTGCATTAGTTAGGTATCTTTATTCCGAAACGTTTCGCTTACACAGTAGGCTTCTTCAGTCGAGTACAGAAGAGTTAGCGGAAGACGATGTAATCAGTCCATCCTTGAAGATGTAGTTTTGAGGTGGTCAGTCCCTCAGCCTGGAGAAGAGTTTTGCTCCATAGTCTGGAACATTGTTCCAGACTATGGAGCAGAACTCTTCTGTACTCGACTGAAGAAGCCTACTGTGAAGGCGAAATGTTTCGGAATAAAGATACCTAACTGTTGCACATGTGTCTTACTTATCAACCTGTCGGAATTTTATACCATTTTCATATTGATTCCTTGGACCTGCATACATCTGTTGTTGTGGATATAATGTGATATGAATCAACGTTGGTGACTCGATGTTACCCGGAACAACGTTGGTGACTCGATGTTACCCGGAACAACGTTGGTGACTCGATGTTACCCGGAACAACGTTGGTGACTCGATGCTACCCGGAACAACGTTGTGATACCTGGACAACGGTGTATGGGCGGGGACCTGCTGAAACTACCCGGGGTGACCTTACACCGGGTCAACAGGACGCGGAGTTCGAGTGGGACGTGACCACACAAGGTCTAGTACTGGGCTGCTTCTACTACGGCTACGCCATGACTCAGGTTAGGCCTGTCTAGTACATGTTTCATACTTGAATCATGTGTCAGACCTGTTTATGTGTTTCATACTTGTATCATAGGACAGACTTGTATATTTTTATAGTTACCTTATAAAAGTGTACGTTAATATTAATCTAAAGCGTCCATACTAATGGACAACTTATAATCCAACACCTTAGCGTGTATATATTAAGAGACACACAGCTCTCGATTATATATATTGAGAGATACAAACTTTTTAGTTTATGTACAATGAAAGAGAAAAATTTTCAGTGTATATTTCCTTGAGAAGAGGTTTGTAATGGTGTGGTCTACATACGGTGCAGGTAGTGGGTGGTAGACTGGCAGAGGTGTATGGTACGAAGTGGGTGTTCGGTGTGTGTGTGCTGGCAGGTGGTGTGGGCAGCATACTCTCTCCCCCAGCTGCTAGACTACACTATGGTGCCCTCATCGCTCTCAGGGTTGTACAGGGACTCATACAGGTGAATATATGTATGTAATTGCTATATTATTGGTCTCCCGTCTTCAGTGTACGTAATTACAGGAGCAAAGCCGGAGGTAGATGTAATACCTCCCCTTCCTTGAATAAAACTTGACTGTCTCCATTTTCCCCAGGTGCTGTAGGACCCCTGCTAATCTATCGCTTTCCCTTGAGGGTATTAAAGTAAGTGTGTATGTCCCCAGGGTGCGTCATGGCCCAGCATGCATGCCTGCGTCGCTCGCTGGATACCTCCCCTCGAGAGACCCAGGTTTATAGGCATTGTTTACTTCGGTAAGTTGTAATAGCACTATTGTAATAATGCTATATATAAGAGCAGTGTCAGTACTAGCACTGCAATAATATTAATGATACTACTATTGTATGACAGCGTCTACGTTGAGCACAGCAGTGACTCTACCCCTGAGTGGCCTCGTTATTGACTCTTACGGGTGGGCCGCTGCCTTCTACGTGACAGGGTCCTTATCCCTCGCCTGGTGCCTTCTCTGGTTTTCCACTATGTATAACTCCCCAGCGGAACACCCCAGGTATGTGTATGATCCTCCAGGACACCCCAGGTACGTGTATGATCCTCCAGGACACCCCAGGTATGTGTATGATCCTCCAGAACACCCCAGGTGGGGTATGATCCTCCAGAACACCCCAGGTACGTGTATGATCCTCCAGAAGACCCCAGGTACGTGTATGATCCTCCAGGACACCCTAGGTATGTGTATGATCCTCCAGGACACCCCAGGTACGTGTATGATCCTCCAGGACACCCCAGGTATGAGTATGATCCTCCAGGACACCCCAGGTACGTGTATGATCCTCCAGGACACCCCAGATACGTGTATGATCTTCCAGGACACCCCAGGTACGGGTATGATCCTCCAGGACACCCCAGGTACGGGTATGATCCTCCAGGACACCGCAGGTATGTGTATGATCCTCCAGGACACCCCAGGTACGTGTATGATCCTCCAGGACACCCCAGGTACGTGTATGATCCTCCAGGACACCCCAGGTATGTGTATGATTCTCCAGGACACCCCAGGTACGTGTATGATCCTCCATGACACCCCAGGTACGTGTATGATCCTCCAGGACACCCCAGGTACGTGTATGATCCTCCAGAACACCCCAGGTACGTGTATGATTTTCCAGGACACCCCAGGTACGTGTATGATCCTCCAGGACGCCCCCCAGGTACGTGTATGATCCTCCAGGACACCCCAGGTATGTGTATGATCCTCCAGGACACCCCAGGTATGTGTGTGATCCTCCAGGACATCCCAGGTATGTGTGTGATCATCCAGGACATCCCAGGTACGTGTATGATCCTCCAGGACACCCCAGGTATGTGTATGATCCTCCAGGACACCCCAGGTATGTGTATGATCCTCCAGAACACCCCAGGTATGTGTATGATCCTCCAGGACACCCCAGGTATGTGTATGATCCTCCAGGACACCCCAGGTATGTGTGTGATCCTCCAGGACATCCCAGGTACGTGTATGATCCTCCAGGACACCCCAGGTACGTGTATGATCTTCCAGGACACCCCAGGTATGTGTGTGTGTGATCCTCCAGGACACCCTAGGTACGTGTATGATCCTCCAGGACACCCCAGGTACGTGTATGATCTTCCAGCACGCCCCAGGTATGTGTGTGATCCCCAAAACCCCTTGGTACACTAAACACTACACTACACTAAACACTACACTAAACAACACTACACTAAACAACACTACACTAAACAACACTACACTAAACAACACTACACTAAACAACACTACACTAAACAACACTACACTAAACAACACTACACTACACTAAACAACACTACTGTTTAGTGTAGTGTTTAAAAGATAATACAATAAGTGTCAGGGGCCCGAGACTGTTCAACTGCCTTCCAGCATACATAAGGGGGATTACTAATAGATCCCTGGCAGTCTTCAAGCTGGCACTGGACAAGCACCTAAAGTCAGTACTTGACCAGCCGGGCTGTGGCTCGTACGTTGGATTGCGTGCAGCCAGCAGTAACAGCCTGGTTGATCAGGCTCTGATCCACCAGGAGGCCTGGTCACAGACCGGGCCGCGGGGGCGTTGACCCCCGGAACTCTCTCCAGGTAAACTACACTACACTGAACAATACTACACTTCACTAAACAATACACTACACTAAACATAAGTACACTACACTACACTAAACATAACTACACTACACTACACTAAACATAACTACACTACACTACACTAAACATAACTACACTACACTACACTAAACATAACTACACTACACTATACTAAACATAAACTACACTACACTAAACATAACTACACTACACTAAACATAACTACACTACACTATACTAAACATAACTACACTACACTAAACAAACTACACTACACTAAACATAACTACACTACACTAAACATAACTACACTACACTATACTAAACATAACTACACTACACTAAACATAACTACACTACACTAAACATAACTACACTACACTAAACATAACTACACTACACTAAACATAACTACACTACACTAAACATAACTACACTACACTAAACATAACTACACTACACTATACTAAACATAACTACACTACACTAAACATAACTACACTACACTAAACATAACTACACTACACTAAACATAACTACACTACACTATACTAAACATAACTACACTACACTAAACATAACTACACTACACTAAACATAACTACACTACACTATACTAAACATAACTACACTACACTAAACATAGCTACACTACACTAAACATAACTACACTACACTATACTAAACATAACTACACTACACTAAACATAACTACACTACACTATACTAAACATAACTACACTACACTAAACATAACTACACTACACTAAACATAACTACACTACACTATACTAAAGATAACTACACTACACTACACTAAACATAACTACACTACACTAAACATAACTACACTACACTAAACATAACTACACTACACTATACTAAAGATAACTACACTACTCTACACTAAACATAACTACACTACACTAAACATAACTACACTATACTAAACATAACTACACTACACTACACTAAACATAACTACACTACACTACACTAAACATAACTACACTACACTAAACATAACTACACTACACTATACTAAACATAACTACACTGCACTATACTAAACATAACTACACTGCACTATACTAAACATAACTACACTGCACTATACTAAACATAACTACACTGCACTATACTAAACATAACTACACTGCACTATACTAAACATAACTACACTACACTATACTAAACATAACTACACTGCACTATACTAAACATAACTACACTGCACTATACTAAACATAACTACACTGCACTATACTAAACATAACTTCGCTACACTACACTAAACATAACTACTAGGGAGGCCAAGCCCATGATGACACTCTTCAGGTCACTTGTTCTATCTAGGCTGGAATATTGCTGCACACTAACAGCACCTTTCAAGGCAGGTGAAATTGCCGACCTAGAAAATGTACAGAGAACCTTCAAGGCGCGCATAAAGGAGATAAAACACTTCAATTATTGGGAGCGCTTGAGGTTCCTAAACCTGTATTCCCTGAAACGCAGGAGGGAGAGATACATGATTATATACACCTGGAAAATCCTAGAGGGACTAGTACCGAACTTGCACACGAAAATCACTCACTACGAAAGCAAAAGACTTGGCAGACGATGCACCATCCCCCCAATGAAAAGCAGGGGTGTCACTAGCACGTTAAGAGACCATACAATAAGTGTCAGGGGCCCGAGACTGTTCAACTGCCTCCCAGCACACATAAGGGGGATTACCAACAGACCCCTGGCAGTCTTCAAGCTGGCACTGGACAAGCACCTAAAGTCAGTTCCGGATCAGCCGGGCTGTGGCTCGTACGTTGGTTTGCGTGCAGCCAGCAGCAACAGCCTGGTTGATCAGGCTCTGATCCACCAGGAGGCCTGGTCACAGACCGGGCCGCGGGGGCGTTGACCCCCGGAACTCTCTCCAGGTAACTCCAGGTAAACACTATAGACTACATAATACAACACACTGCATATACACCACTACATAATACAACACATTACATAATACAACACATTACATAATATACCACACAAGTACTACAATGTTAAACATTATTCTACACTATACATTGCCGTACATTATACATAACTAATATATGTCCTACATAACTAATATCTAAGAAGTCTACTTTACATTACTTCAGCAATTTACAGGAGTCTACCATAACTAATATATATCTAAGTAGACTATATTACTTCAGTAATTTATAGGACTCTAGAGTAACTATATTTAAGTGAGTAGTCTCTGGTGAGGACCTCACATCTCGTCTTGGATGTACAAAGGTTGTACTTCCAGCGGTAATACTTAAGTATTCGCCGGATCTGCGAAGACATCCGCCATAATGCGGATCATAAAGTTGGATTACCAGTGGGCAAATTATGTTGGCTTCACTGCACGGAGTGGTACCCAGGATGTATATTTCATTATCGATACTGGTTCTCCTAACTCTTTAGTCTCAAGATCATTTCTGAATGGTTGTGAAATTAAGAACAAAAAGAGTTACGGGACAATTGAAACTTGCAGCATTGTTTTACGTTTTCAAGGATATGGAATCGACCTCCCTGTTAACATAATAGATGGTAATTTGAATTTTGGTCTTCTAGGCATGGACTTCTTGGTTGGTCACCAATGCTCCCTCGAATTTATATATGATGAGCCACTGCTTGTAGCTCGTAAATTATTATTCAAGACATTTACTCCTCGACACATGTTCCAAGAGCTGGAGATTGACGGCCAAGCTGCAATATGCCATTTGGACACAGGAAGTCCTATGTCAATCATAACAGAGGATATGGTACGCAAATTCGGCCTAAAATTAACTAAACTACGACGTCCATTATCCATAAATACTGTATATGGTGTCACCGGTTACACATTTAGTTCTAAATGTTAAATTAAAAATAGATGCAGAGATAATAAAAGTTGATTTTGAAGTTGTAAAAGAATTTATGCATCCTATAATCATTGGACTACCTGTGTTAAAGAAACTAAAGGTAATAAATTTTACAAAACAACGGCATAAAATTTCTCCCGAGAGACATGTTTGTTACCGTGACGTAGTTAGAGGTTATGCCAGAGGATTTCCTCTTAAACAACGTATTAAGGAAGCTTTTCTCAGATTGTTTGGTTGCTTTGCACATAAGAATGAAACATTTAATTGAACTTTTAAAAATACATATTTTGTTATGTAATAACCATTGCATTAAACCTGCATTATATGGTCGATATATGTGAGTTATTTATAATTTTCTATCTTGACATCCAACTCTCAAAGACACGAGAGGTGTTATTCATGACTTTTGACTGGGTCACTTAAGTCCCACTGACAATTTTGTCAATTTAGTTTTTCACATAAAGGAAACAGTTTTTGTTATAATAATATATAAAGGAAAGTGATATAATTTACAGGGTTTTAGATAATTATGTAATTAATGCTTCAGAAAAAAGAAAACTGGCATATATAAAAGCCCAAGTTTAAGTTTGAGCTGAGTGAACCCTTAATACTGTTCGACGTGATACCGGAGCCGTCCATCTGTCACCTACAAATTTCATACCATCCAAGATTTTCATCAATAACCATAGAATGTCTTATTCAGTCTGCTTTACATTTTAAACCCTGGTCAACTATTAGTGAAGGTGTGGTGGAGAAACGTTTCCGGAATGAAGATTACCAAATGAGGCTCAAGTGTCTCATGATCCGAAATGGATGAACATAGGGCACCTAGCAGCCAGTGTGCGACGTTCACTCTTACAGTTGAGTAAATTTGGAGAGGAGGTGATGGTGCAAGCCTTGAAATCATGCCCTTCACAGCTACAAGTCGAGCAGAATTTCTTATCCTTCATAGGACAGTCCTTGGAGAGATGTAGGTAGGAGTAGCAGCTCCAACAGGGCGTGATGTGTTGAGAGCCCTCAGCTTCAATATGGCTAGGATTTATGTAGTAAAAGATTGCCATTCCATTAGCATGAGTTTGGGCTGCCATGGTAACGTCACTGAAGAGGCATTGGAATTTTGGTAATGTAGTCCACTGGGCCAAGAATTCTGATCTTTTATTGATGTCTTGAGTTCGTCGATAGAATGGGTTGTTATAAGTTTGTTCATTTGTTTAATGAAGACAGATCTCTGCCCTAAGTTCTGGAGTAGACATAACTTGGAAACTACGTTCATGGTGAGTAGAAGTTGTAGCAGTAGTAGTGATCAGTTTTTCAGCGCCACGAGTACACTGAGAGACAGCACAATAAGTGTCAGGGGCCCAAGACTGTTCAACTGCCTCCCAGCATACATAAGGAAGATTGCCAATAGACCCCTGGCTGTCTTCAAGAAGGCACTGGACAAGCACCTAAAGTCAGTACCTGATCAGCCGGACTGTGGTTCGTGCGTCAGTTTGCGTGTGGCCAGCAGTAACAGCCTGGTTGATCAGACCCTGATCCACCACGAGGCCTGGTCTCAGACCGGGCCGCGGGGGCGTTGACCCCCGAAACCCTCTCCAGGTATACTCTAGGACACAGGGTGACCAATGCCGAATTTAGACCTTGGGGGGCCCAGAGTACTTTAGGTTGAGGGGCCTCAACATGTAAATTAAACTGAATTACAAATAAGAAATTAACTAAAATGAATGATAAACAGCAGTTTTCGAAAAAAAAAATGTTAGATTTCTAAGAAGACGTCTGATTTTATTTTTCTCAATTTTATTGACTTTTTATAAAAATTAAAGAGCACATACATACAAGAATTCATACCCACAAATACACACACATTTTTGGTATTTGAATTTTGTCTTCCAGTATTCCTTTTGCATACATTGAGGTAGAGGAGGCTGGGCTTGTAGAACACAGGTATTCCTTTCTTGGATCGCGCAACAACCGAAAATGTATCTAATTTTATTATAATCATGAGAGGAAGCGCTAAATCTTAGTGGGTGATATATTGCCAGGGAATGATGGGGAAGATGACGTTCAGGTTACATTCAGTGAAGTTAAGACCAGTTTGATGCATTAAAAACCCCTTGCTGTATTTTTCTCAGCGTATTATATGCTGAGAGTTTGGCTTTAGGGATTAAATGATTCTTAACTAGTGGTGACAAGGTTATTGGTCAGCCTTAATGACCATAGTGTAGTCGATAGGCTTTAAACCATATTTACCAACCTACCTACATAGAGAAGCCTAATAGTTTAAACTCTAAATATCGTAAAACTCAAATTATTTGTATTTCTCCACTACACTTAAAATTTGTGGTCCAGCCCCTTGAGCCATTACGAGCCTCTTATATTTTGACTATCACCCGCATGACGGCCATGCAATGAATCATAAGATATTAAAGTAGCTGTCACTACAGGATCAGCAGGAAGGAACTAGCATACATCGAAGGACGTCTGAGGAGCTCAGGAACGAGTGAGAGGCAGCAGCCAGACACCATCCCATGGAGAGATATAGTCAGGAGCCTGCCTGTCTATGCCATTGTGGTGTGTGACATGGGCAACTCCTGGGGCCTCACACTTTTCCTCACCCAGCTGCCAACATACATGAAGAATGTCCTGGGATTCTCCATTAAAGCGGTATGACCAGGGCTGCTTTACCCGGGCCAGTTTCTTTCTGAGACTCTTTCCTTAAAACTGCTGTATAGTCCTTGTGGCTTCGCTCTTCTTTTTTGATTATAATAATAATTTCCTTAAAATTTAAATGTAATTTTAACACGGTGTTTTGCTTCAAAAATGAAACCTGACTGAGAATTGTATCGTGATTAGTTGATGAAGGATCGAGCCTCCAGTATTTGCACTGAAAGGCCTTGTCTGTTTGGCACTTCATATAAATATAATAGTTGATCCTTTCTATGGTGGTTATAGTTCTGTACTTAATACTATTTATCCTTGTTGATGGCCACCATCTTCATTTCAAAGATCATAACCAGAATTTTTCAAGGGGTGGAGGGGTAAGCCAGTGGAAGGCCTCGGTCAGATGACCAAAAGCACCAGCTGTGGGTCATCATATAACTCAGACACTCGTCAGGAAACACTTGTCCTGTTTCCTGACATATTTTACCTAACCTGACCTTCATTTCCAAGGACTCTATGGTTTTGTCCTTAAATCTCACATATACTGCTGTACGTGACTGACTTTTTTTTCCCACAATTACTTTTTTTTCATAACTACTTTCGTTATTGTATATTCTTTACGGTTAGTTATTTACGGCAGAATTGAAAAAAAAAATCGTGAGTCATGACAGAAATTAAATTACAATTAGATATTAAGCACAGGTCATATTTTTCCTCTATAACAATTTAATGTAATAATACCCATAATAATATAGCAATAATATTCATACACGTCTACTTTATTAATAGACCAAAATAAGTTTTTTTTGGCATATAAGGCACCAGGAGAATATTTTGAGGTGTCCAGCTAGGCTAGTCCTGAAGTTGAGAGAAGTGGAGATTTTGATCCAAGGGATGGGAGAGTTGCTGCACCTGCGTCAAGACTCCTTTTACCTTAAAGGAATGTCAGGTGTGGGAATACTAGGTGTAGGAATGTCAGGTGTGGGAATACTATGTAGGAATGTCAGGTGTGGGAATACTAGGTGTAGGAATGTCAGGTGTGGGAATACTAGGTGTAGGAATGTCAGGTGTGGGAATACTAGGTGCAGGAATGTCAGGTGTGGGAATACTAGGTGTAGGAATGTTAGGTGTGGGAATACTAGGTGCAGGAATGTCAGGTGTGGGAATACTAGGTGTAGGAATGTCAGGTGTGGAAATACTAGGTGCAGGAATGTCAGGTGTGGGAATACTAGGTGCAGGAATGTCAGGTGTGGGAATACTAGGTGTAGGAATGTTAGGTGTGGGAATACTAGGTGCAGGAATGTCAGGTGTGGGAATACTAGGTGTAGGAATGTCAGGTGTGGGAATACTAGGTGCAGGAATGTCAGGTGTGGGAATACTAGGTGCAGGAATGTCAGGTGTGGGAATACTAGGTGTAGGAATGTCAGGTGTGGGAATACTAGGTGCAGGAATGTCAGGTGTGGGAATACTAGGTGCAGGAATGTCAGGTGTGGGAATACTAGGTGTAGGAATGTCAGGTGTGGGAATACTAGGTGCAGGAATGTCAGGTGTGGGAATACTAGGTGTAGGAATGTCAGGTGTGGGAATACTAGGAGCAGGAATGTCAGGCGTGGGAATACTAGGTGTAGGAATGTCAGGTGTGGGAATACTAGGTGTAGGAATGTCAGGAGTGGGAATACTAGGTGTAGGAATGTCAGGTGTGGGAATACTAGGTGTAGGAATGTTAGGTGTGGGAATACTAGGTGTAGGAATGTCAGGTGTGGGAATACTAGGTGTAGGAATGTCAGGTGTGGGAATACTAGGTGTAGGAATGTCAGGTGTGGGAATACTAGGTGTAGGAATGTCAGGTGTGGGAATACTAGGTGCAGGAATGTCAGGTGTGGGAATACTAGGTGTAGGAATGTCAGGTGTGGGAATACTAGGTGTAGGAATGTCAGGAGTGGGAATACTAGGTGTAGGAATGTTAGGTGTAGGAATGCCAGGTGTGAGAATACTAGGTGTAGGATTGCCAGGTGTGGGATAGCAAGAATGCCAATATGGGAATATAGGAATGCCAGGTGTGGGAATGTAAGAATTCCAGGTGTAGGAATACTAACTGAGGAAAATCCAGGCGTGTGAATGTCATCTAACCATCCCAAGTTCAGTCCCACATGAGGTCATGTGTTGCAACCCCTGAATGGGTTGCAATGATTTTTATGTATATATATAATTATTATCTTTTCATATAATTTTATATTGCTTATATTTGCGATAATAGCTAAATCGTAAATGTATTGCTTTATATTGTTATTTGACGTAGATTCCTTTGTTAGGTAGGATGTAACATATTATGTGTTCAGTTCAAGTCTTGATTGTCTAACTACTGTAATTATCGCTTGTGGCTCGTTTCCCTGCCGGCTTCTCGTTGTTACTGAGCTGTGCTGTCCACGGAGCTATCACGTGATCGAGGGGGGGTTGTCCTCACCTCGCCTGAAGTATTCAGTCTGGTCTAGACTCTCTTGGTGGTTGGACAGATTGTCTGTCTCATTATTCTTGTTAGTTCTGTAGAACTCTGTTCACAGAACATTGTGTAGACTTAGTGATTTTCGACGTTGTACTGAGGTTGTGTGTTTCATAGACACTCTGAGTATCTCAGGTCCTGAGCTATAGCTTCTGACTTAATTTATACTGGTATCTGTGTATTATCAGTGTCAGGGATTTTCCTATGCTGAACTTAGATTCAGTAGTATGGGAGTTTTGTGACTTTTGTGGAGGATCTGCTGATGGTCCCTACTTAGTGTCATTATATTATCTCCTTGTCCTGATTGTGTCGCAGTTTCTTGTTGTATTGCTATTGGGCTTAGCATTCTTTTTGTTGTTCAAGCAGACTGTTCTGATTGCCAGTTGGTCAAGAACTTAGTTTATGTGAGGACTTTGTCAGTCACTTGTTTAAGTCTAGTCGAGTCGTGAGACATAGCGAACTACTTAGAGCACTTACACGCATACACAAACTTACTTGTACATATTTGTAATATCTTATTAAATGTTAATGTACCAGAGGGTACTTAAGAATTATAAATGTGATATGTGCTTCAAGCACAATAATATTGTACTTGAGAGAAGTGATATTATTTTGATTACTGTGATTAATTTAATTTAATTTAATTTGATAATATACCTCTAGACTTAATAAATTTATTAAATTTTAATTTCTCTAGTTAGTAGCCTACCAGTTGTAATCCTGAAGCACTAATGAATCATACTGAATTATAATGGATAATTGGACAAGGATACTGACTACTTGTTACGAAAACCCAGTAACAGGCTGGATGCTAGAAGGGCAGTCCTTTCTAGTATTACCTGGAGATCTCTAAGCTTTCAGAATCGCGTTTTTTGTAACATCATGAGAGTATGTACTAACCTACATTTGGTTGCAGGGGTCGATTCACAGCTCCAGTGTGTGTGTGATGGCTGTGACACTAATTCCTTGATACCCTCTCCTGCAGAACGGTGCCCTGTCTGCCCTACCTTTCCTCTCCCGGTACACTGGAGCAGTAGGTGCCAGTACCCTGAGTGACTGGCTTGTACAACATCATCATCTCTCCCTCATCAATACTCGCAGAATCTTCAGCATCCTTGGTAACTCATTACTCTGAAGACGCCATCAAGAACTAGCTTTTGCTAGACATTTAAGTCACGTTATTTGGCCTTATTGGGTTATTCTGGGATAAATTCAGTGCATTTAATTTGTAAAAATAATTTTAAGTTAAAGTCAAAATTAGGTAGCCTAAATAAGAACTTTAATCTGTGTAGTTTTATATAATCATGATAGTACAATGTTTGGTTCTGTGTAGAGCTTTGTGGAGTTATAATGAAGCTTCTCAGAGACATTGTACCACGAAAAGTTTGTTCTAAAGCCTGAGTCTATCTCATTTGTATGCACTGAGAGCAACAGTGTATATACACTTAGAGTTGAATATACCTCAGCATATACTATATACGTGTACATACAATAAATTTTAATCCCTATTTTAGGGATTTAAAATATTGACTGGTGATGTACAGATGACACACAGCCTTAATAATGAATGAACAAAGGTGACTTTTTCTTAATCATTTCATAAAAAATAGATCAGTTTACATTTATACAACTTTAGAGATACTCAGAAACAAAGTACAAGTTACATTATCATATTTGTGCTCAAAATCAATATAAAGTTAGGTAGTCTATATAGAAACTAATCCAGTTATAACTCTCTTGACTATAAAGTTTTTGGACTAAACAAAAATGAGTTTATTTTATTAAGTTTGAAGCCTATTAACTACACAGTTAACTGGTCACATCGTCCATGAACTTACTGAACTTGTCTAAGGAATATAATAAACTGAAGAGATGTTAAAATATTAGAAGATCAGTAGTAGTAGTAATGATCAAGTTGAAAATAAAAGTTATGATTGTGATGATAGAAATAATGGGTTTATGTGGCAGCAATGTGGGTGCCAGCGGTGGTGGTGATAGGTGTGGCATATGGAGGATGCCAGTGGGAGGTGACAGTGGCACTCATCTGCCTAGCACTGTTCTTTAACGGTGCCATCACCACAAGTGTCATCGTCAACTCTACAGACATAGCTCCTAACCTTTCAGGTGTGTATTCCTTTCATGGAGGTGTCTTAATAGTAGTAGTACTAATAATAATAATAATGGAAACAAACACATATGGAGTTTAATGTGATCCTTTACTGACAACGTTTCGCCACACAGTGGGCTTTTTCAAGTCACAAACAGATCTACCTGGGGTGGAAGGTAGGGGAGTATTTATAGTCAGAATGTTGAGGTTGACAGGACAAACTTCCATCCTCTGCAAGGGTATACAAAATCCCTTGTAATAACCAACAAATTATACGTGGGCGAAACATCAAGGGACCTCCAAACACGTATTTCAGAACACCAATACGCAAGCAGGACTGACGATACAAGGAATGCCTGTGTATAACATCGCAATTCACACAACCATTTAATCAACTACAGAAACTCAAGACTTATCGCCACAGAAGACAACACTCAATACCGAAGAATCCTGGAATCATCGCTTATCTCTATAACCAACAATTTCAACCAGAACAACGGCTTCTATAACATAGCTGAACCACTCGCCAAGAAACTTCTTCATCGCTATCCCACATAAGAACATAGAACACTGCAGAAGGTCTACTCACAACTTGTCCAATACCCCTGCCAAGCTACCCAAGACTCTATAACCCCACCCAGTGGATCATCAGATGCAGCATTCTCCACCTTACCTCAACATTCTTACTATAAATACTCCAGTACCTTCCACCCCAGGTAGATCTGTTTGTGACTTGAAAAAGCCCACTGTGTGGGTGAAACGTTGTCAATAAAGGATCACATTAAACTGCATATGTGTTTATGTTTCCATAGTGTCGGTATTTTATACCATTTATCTTCATCAATAATAATAGTAAATTCTGCATGGGGAAGTGGAAAAGAATCTTTCCTCCGTAAGCCATGCGTGTAGTAAGAGGCAACTAAAAATATGCCAGGAGGGGGCTAGTAACCCCTTCTCCTGTATAGATTACTGAATAGTATAAGAAAATAAATTTCATAAGTTTCTTCTTTTTTTGCGTCACCCTGCCTGGGTGGGAGACAGCTGGTGCGTTAAAAAAAATAATAATCAGATTATCATGTCTTGGCGTTTTTGCAAACAGACATTATTCTGTTCATGAGGATGAGCTAAACCCATAGGGGCCATATAGCACCTGAGGATTGAGAATCGGGTTTGCTCCGATGTAGGTAAGGGTGGCTTCAGTTTCTTGGATGAAGAGACCCCAGTGGAAATAAGTCACTTTGTCTGATTTTTTGGGGTTATCTTAGGTTCTTTACACTTATGCTGTTATGTATGATAATCTATGTAACTGTATTTGTGTATACCTGAGGAAAACTTACTTAAGAGACCTTTATCAGAATTCTCTCTTTGCAGGCACATTGTTTGGCATCAGCAACACATTTGCCAGTATTATCTCCTTCATTGTCCCTGTGGTCACCGGCCTCATCACTAACCACCAAGTTGGTAACATTGTGTAGAGTTTATTAATGGATAAGTTGGTAACGTTGTCTAGGGGTTCAGTAATGGAAAAGTTGCTAGATAGATCTACAACTTCCTGACATATAGAACACAAAGAGTAATAGTAAACAGATTAAAGTCTCAGGCAGCCATGGTAAAAAGCTCTGTTCCACAAGGCACAGTACTCGCTCCCATTCTATTCCTCATCCTCATTTCTGACATAGACAGAGATGTAAGCCGTAGCTTACATCGGATCACCATGACAGTGACCTCCATCAAAGATACTGCGAGACTCCAAGCGGACATCAACCAAATCTTCGAATAGGCCACTCAAAACAATATGAAGTTCAACGAGGAGAAATTTCAACTACTCAGATATGGAAAACTTGAAGAAATTAAAAATGTGGCAGGGTATACCACAAATTCTAACCATACAATAGAGCAGAAAAGTAATGTGAAGGACCTGGGAGTGATAATGTCAGAGAATCTCGCCTTCAAAGACCAAAACAATGTATCTACCTCATCCGCTAGGAAAAATGATATCATGATACATACAACAGGGCATAAAAAGATGAGCACCATTCTTAATGAAGTTCAAGCAATTTGTAATCGACTAGGCCTCATAATATCTTCCTCTAAAGCAAAGATATTAACAAGCAAACGACATCCCCCACCCATCATTAGCTACGTTAAAACCTACAGATATCTTGGTGTAGATGTACCCTTTAACAAATCCACTATACCACAACTAAATAAGAAATGCAAAGATAGGCTAAATGCTCTCAAAGCTGTTGCTGGCTACAACCCCAACTATGGTGCTAATGTTGCTGGCTACAACCCCAACTATGGTGCTAATGTTGCTGGCTACAACCCCAACTATGGTGCTAATGTTGCTGGCTACAACCCCAACTATGGTGCTAATGTTGCTGGCTACAACCCCAACTATGGTGCTAATGTTGCTGGCTACAACCCCAACTCTGGTGCTAATGTTGCTGGCTACAACCCCAACTATGGTGCTAATGTTGCTGGCTACAACCCCAACTATGGTGCTAATGTTGCTGGCTACAACCCCAACTATGGTGCTAATGTGAGAATGATATACATAGCCTATGTTAGGTCCTTAATTGATTATGCTGCTCCCATGTTGATATTAGCTAGAGAAAGTTCTCTCCGACCCTAGGAGTTAATGCAGAATGAAGCTCTCAGAATTATTCTTGGGTGTCCCAAATCTACAAAAGTTCTTAACATGAGGAAGGAGCTTGGTATTTCTAGTATCAGTGATAGGATTGTTGAGATTAACACTGTACTCGGTATTAGAATGTTGAGAAATGAACCAGACTCTGTCACAATGAATCTTACCAAGTGTCTAGAGGTAAATACACATAAATCCAAATGGATTGTGAAAACGTGCAATTGCATTAAGTTTTATAACCTGCATGAACTGTATCACTGTAGGCAACAAGAGCATTTCACCCCTCCGTGGAAGATGTGTTCATTTAATATCACATACCTACAAGTCCTCCCAAGAAGCTCATTGCTAGTAATCCCTTCCTTAAATCTCTTGTTAGAGCAACTGCTCAAGAAGAAATTTCTCACCTAGCTGGTAGTAATAAGTTATCACAAGTTATATACACTGATGGATCTAAACAGGAGTCTTCTGGCAGGGCTGCATCTCCTCTTGTTGCCACCTCCCTAGTTTATTTATTTATTTAGTAATTTGAACACACATACAGAGGTATAAAAAATACAGGTAAGAGCAGCATGCCAAATCCACTTTTATGCATAGCATTACGGGCTGGCTTAAAATTAACTTAAGATTAACTAAGCAATGATGTAATCAGTGATAAAACATTATTGTAAACAAATAACAATAAAGCACAAATGAGTATTACAAAGACAGGTCATATGGTTGCATGCATTGTTGTACATTCAGTAGAATGGAGTATTCTGTTAGGTAGTGTATTTAAATAATAACAAAGTTAGATTGGGTCTTAGGTTTAACATTTATGTGATAATTGTGAGAAACATTTAAGATATACAATATATATTATTATTATTATAATCAAGGGGAAGAGCTAAACCCGGAGGATTATACAGCGCCTGGGGGGGGGGGATGTGGAAGGCATTCAGGCTTAATTCGGGGAACTGGAGCACAGATCCAATTCCCTAAATCAAGAGCCCCTCACCAACATCAAGGAACCTTCCTTGAGGGGTATACAATTTATAAGATTAGATTAGATTTTGCCACCGAAGTGGCTAGTTTATTGTGCACCCCATATCCATCCTGTGGACGGTAGCGCGAGAGCATATGGATACACAAAAGGCCTAGGAACTAGGCCCCAAAAGGTTAACAGGAATACATATGGATTTATATCTACATATCTATAGTTCACTTATCTGTTACAAGCAAATTGTATACCCCTTAAAGAATATCTTATCATTTCACATACACTTTTTAAATTACACCAAAGTGGTTGGGCCACTTACCTTTTATATCCTACCTCTCTCCCCCCTCCCACCCTTTTCCAATATTTCTATCCTTACCCATCCTTCTTCCTTACCCATCCTTCTTCCTTACCCATCCTTCTTCCTTACCCATCCTTCTTCCTTACCCATCTTACCAAAGTTCTGGTCATACCAACAACAACAAGTTTGAAGTAGTTATTGTGTGCTAGTTTGAAGTAGTTACTATTTACTAGTTTGAAGTAGTTATTATGTACTAGTTTGAAGTAGTTATTATGTACTAGTTTGAAGTAGTTATTATGTACTAGTTTGAAGTAGTTATTATGTACTAGTTTGAAGTAGTTATTATGTACTAGTTTGAAGTAGTTATTATGTAAATAGTTTGAAGTAGTTATTATGTACTAGTTTGAAGTAGTTATTATGTACTAGTTTGAAGTAGTTACTATTTACTAGTTTGAAGTAGTTATTATGTACTAGTTTGAAGTAGTTACTATTTACTAGTTTTAAGTAGTTATTATGTACTAGTTTGAAGTAGTTATTATGTACTAGTTTGAAGTAGTTATTATGTACTAGTTTGAAGTAGTTACTATTTACTAGTTTTAAGTAGTTATTATGTACTAGTTTGAAGTAGTTATTATGTACTAGTTTGAAGTAGTTACTATTTACTAGTTTGAAGTAGTTACTATTTACTACTTTGAAGTAGTTACTATTTACTAGTTTTAAGTAGTTATTATGTACTAGTTTGAAGTAGTTATTATGTACTAGTTTGAAGTAGTTACTATTTACTAGTTTGAAGTAGTTACTATTTACTAGTTTGAAGTAGTTATTATGTACTAGTTTGAAGTAGTTATTATGTACTAGTTTGAAGTAGTTACTATTTACTAGTTTGAAGTAGTTATTATGTACTAGTTTGAAGTAGTTATTATGTACTAGTTTGAAGTAGTTACTATTTACTAGTTTGAAGTAGTTACTATTTACTAGTTTTAAGTAGTTATTATGTACTAGTTTGAAGTAGTTACTATTTACTAGTTTGAAGTAGTTACTATTTACTAGTTTGAAGTAGTTACTATTTACTAGTTTGAAGTAGTTACTATTTACTAGTTAGTAGTTACTGTGTACTAGTTTGAAGTAGTTACTATTTACTAGTTAGAAGTAGTTACTATTTACTAGTTAGTAGTTACTGTGTACTAGTTTGAAGTAGTTACTATTTACTAGTTAGTAGTTACTGTGTACTAGTTTGAAGTAGTTACTATTTACTAGTTAGAAGCAGTTACTATTTACTAGTTTGAAGTAAGCAGCAGCAGCAGCAGCAGCAGCAGCAGCAGCAGCAGCAGCAGAAGCAGCAGCAGCAGCAGCAGCAGCAGCAGCAGCAGCAGAAGCAGCACAGCAGCAGCAGCAGCAGCAGCCGCCGCCGCCGCCGCCGCCGCCGCCGCCGCCAGTGGAGGAGAAAGTTGTGATGAAAATGAGGCCTGGTCACAGACCGGGCCGCGGGGGCGTTGACCCCCCGGAACTCTCTCCAGGTAAACTCCAGGTAAACTGATGTATAATGGATGTATACACTGATGTATAATGGATGTATACACTGATGTATAATGGATGTATACACTGATGTATAATGGATGTATACACTGATGTATAATGGATGTATACACTGATGTATAATGGATGTATACACTGATGTATACATGGATGTATACATACATAGATTAATATATATAAGTGTAAAACATATTATCAAAGAAACTTCCAAAACCCTACTTTTTTTTTTCCTAAAAATTTTAATGTGAAAAACAAAGTTATTTAATGTTTACTTTAAGTTAGTTAAGGGTGGGGGAAAAGTAAAACAAAAAAAGGGGAAGACGAGAGCGAAACCCCCCCCCTAGGGCCCAGCGTACCCCCAACTTTTCTCACTTTCCCAAACAACGAAAGTTCAGGTAAGACCCAAAATGGAGAGGGTGTTCTTAGGTAGAAAAAGCCAGGGCTTAACCCCAGCACGGGGGCGATCGGGGACAGATATTGAGAAGAAAAATTCAGGCTCTTCTGTTGGGACCCCCGGTGGGTTAGGGGGGAGGAAGGGACATGCGACTTTCAAGCTAGAGAGGGTGTAGAACTGAGAATGTTTTTAAACCCCAAGGGTAAGGCGGACGGGGGGAAAAAAAGAGAAGGGAAACCTGTAAATAGAAGGTACCAAGGAGAACCCCGGGTTTTTTGTAAATAGGGTTAGGAGCAGGTTAGGAAAGGAGTAGAAAAGGTTTGGTTTTGGGTTTTTGTGGGTCTGCGAATGTCTTCGTCAAGGAAAAGAGGCCAATAGATGTCGGGGTCCACAGTTTGTCAATTGCTTTTCCGAGCGTCTTCCATTTCGATTCAGGCAGGGATGTAAAAATTGGGGGCTTTGTAAAGACTGCTGGGGCCCCGAATCCCCCACCCTGCAAAAACCCACCCAGGGGGGCCCCTTGTTTTTGGCCCGCTGCAGTTTAAGTAATTTTGTTTTTCTGAAAAGAGAGGGGCTAGAGGGAGTAAGTTAAGAGATAAGATGAAAAAGTTTTTCGTTCGGTTTTTTTAACCCCCGGAG